TGTGCTCTTCCGATCTCCCCAAAACCCCAAAACCCCATCAATCATATTCTTAAGATGCATTGTGTTTGTAAATAAATTAAACTTTGAGAAACACCAAGTTAACAATACACAAAAGGAAAAATAAGTCATGAATCAGCAACTGCCATAGCAATTTACAAAAAGACTAACTACTAGTTCTGGGATCCCAATTGACAACAATCAGCATGTTTTAACTGCAGGAGCAAGAGGTCCTATCCTTCTCCAGGATACTAATTTTATCAATAAAATTCAAAAATTCGATAGGGAAAGAATCCCTGAGCGAGCTGCTCATGCATAAGGCCAGGGTGCCCATGGATATTTCGAAGTTACTCATGATGTTACTAAATATACAAAGGCCAAATTCTTATAGAATATAGGCAAGAGAACTCCACTGTTCTGTAGGATGTCCACAACTATTGGATCTCGTGGCTCATCCGACTTGCTAAGAGACATCAGAGGATTCGCTCTCAAATTTTATACTGAAGACGGAAACTATGATTTAGTTGGTGTAAACTTTCCAGTATTTTTCTTTAGAGACCCAATGCAGGCACCTGATTTCTTCCATGCCATGAAGCAACATCCTGTTAAAAATGCATTTGATCCCAATACTATGTTTGATTTCTTTAGTCAAGTTCCAGAAAGCATTCATGCTTTGACCATTATGTATACTGACAGAGGTACTCCTGTTGGCTACAGACATATGCATGGTTACAGTGCTAATACATTTAAGTGGGTAAATGAATAAGGACAATCTTTCTTTGTGAAATATACTCTCAAAACTGACTAAGGAATTAAAAACTTCTCAAATTAGGAAGCACTAACTACTGCAGGAATTCAGCCCTACTTCTCTAGTCTTGACTTGCATGAAAGCATACAAAAAGGAGACTTCCCATCATGGAAAATGTTTGTTCAATTGATTCCTGAAGCAGAGGGTGAGTTATACAAGTGGGACATTTATGACGTCACTAAAGTTTGGCCTCACGGGGAATATCCTCTTATTCCTGTGGGAAGAATGGTATTGAACAAAACTACTCAAAACTACTTCGCTGAAGTTGATTAAGTAGCATTTAACCCAGCTAATTTAGTTCCAGGCATTGAGCCTTCAAATGATAGACTTTTGCAAGGAAGATTGTTCCTATATTAAGACACTCAATTGCACAGACTTGGGCCGAATCATGATTAGATTCCAATTAATTGTCCATTTGCTGTAAATAATTTCTAGTAAGATGGGCTAATGAATGTTCTTAGCAATCAGTAAAAAACTGTGACATATGATAATAACACCACAATGGAAGAAAAGCCTAAGACAGACCCAACAGCTGCAATCAAACCTTTTGGACTGACAGGATTAACAGGAAGATATTCCTATCCTCATTCAAATGATGACTTCGAATAGGTAAGAACCTTCTACAAGAAGGTGCTGACCAGTCAAGAGAGAGACGCATTAATTGAAAACATCTGCTTCTCATTAGGCAAATGCACTCCACAAATCTAATAGAATATGCTCAAAGTATTCTTCATGGTTGATGAAGACTATGGCAGCAGAGTTTAGAAAGGACTTTCTCAATCATCAATCTCATCTATGGTCGGCTAATTTGCCAAGAAAGTAGGCCTCTCGTCAGACAAGTCTTAGCTTATCGGAGAATCATGTAATAGGGAATAGATCATGACATGAATCCCTGATTCTTGAATAATGATTTCTAATGAGATTTATATTTGAATATGATGAAATGTTATTTTTGGTCATAATTTTATTATTTTAATTTACTGCTATAATTGCTCAATGGGGTTTTGGGGTTTTGGGG